TTTCTCTTCATTTTATTACACTCTGAACATTAGCGTTCAAACGACAATTAGGTTACATCCAGAAAATCCCAATAAAACGACGAAAAAAAGCAAAGTTTAAAGGATCGTTATAAAGAAATCTCGATTTTCACGATCGTGGCAGATCAAATCATGAAAAAAAAACTTTTCGATGCTTTCGAGAATAAAAGTACTTTTAAGACGCAAAAACATCTTTCTAAAAGAAAAACAAAAAATAGAAAACGAACGTAGGACAGTGAAAGTAGATTTCTTTTACGATTCTTAAGCTATTGAGTTATCGACAATCTTTCATTGTCATTATATTATAGTCATTGTGAAGATAGGTTAGGTCAATGGTCAAAGATACGCAGCTATTTCAACGGAAAAAATTCGACGCGCATGAACGCGCGAAGATGGAATCGCAGCTGGCACCGAATCGCCAATCGAGTAGGCCAATATCCATCCGCGCACCTCAATCGTCATTTACACACTTATCTAGGTCACGTTCAACAAGTATAACACTAGGAAATAAATCCCCTCGAGGGAATCTTCTTTCTCGAGTTCCCCTGGATCTTCCGCGTTCCGCTTTAAATATCAAACGCGGATCGATCCATCGATCCGTTCGATTTCTTCACCACGCGCGATCGTCCGCCAATTTGTACATCGTCGACGAATTATATCGCGTGCACGTATTTGTTTGCACTGCCGACACTTTCAGCGAATCTTCCACTGGCGGACAGTGGGCCGGATCGAGAATTCACGCGACATTTCTGAATAACTTTTGACTCGCGAGAGATATCACGATGAAAATTCAATTTATAAATATTTATAAATAATATTCCTTTCCTATAATGATGTACCTCATGCACGTTTAATCACTGTCTCGTTAAACGAAATTGGTCAAATTGTTTATTTCATAGTCTACTTACTTCATACTTCTGACCTAATTTCATTAATCATGTGTAAATAAAAATTTGGAAATTATGAACGAAATCGGGTAATATTGAGCATACAAAAATATTCAGTGTAAAATGTAAAATTAAAGTAAAATTAATTTGTATATCCGAGGTAAATGTCATCGGAATATAAAAAGTAAATAATTCACGTACAATTGATATTATAATGTTTAGATGAAATTACAAAGATTTATCTAAAATGTTTTTTTTTTATTAGAAACAAATTATAACATAAGATACGATTTATAGTGATTATATTTATATATGAAAATTTATTTTGAAACCTAAATCTAAATATCGCCATTAAACAACGAAACAATCACTTTTTATAGCAAAGTCAACTTTTATAATCTAACACAGTTATTGTAAATAAACATCTAACTGAATAAGATAATATGTTATTCAATTCGTCGCTCCTGAAACGTGTTTGAACAATAATAATCATTTGTTATTTTAATTGAATAATCGAATTAACTCGGACAGAAATGAGGAATAATTTGAAAACGATCCATCTCGAATCTCGCTAAATGAAATCACTATCACAATGTTGTTTACGAAGTGACAATAATTAGACTGTGGACGATAATTATGCAAATTCACGTTTCCTTCAATACAATTAAAAAGGAAATGAAATTACTTGATCTGTTGGGCACTACGAAGCTGTTATTTTGGACGTATTATGCGTCTTTCTGTACTTTTTGATTATCCACAAGTCCACACAAATCCGCAATCTGACAACAATAAATTTATTGAAGTGTTACGATTCGTTATTTCAAGCTGTTACATTTTTTTTTTTTTTTTGCACTGTTGCAAATAAAATACATTCTGGCCTGACTTTTTCGTGTCTTTGTTTGTCGATTCAGTGGGAATTCTCCCCGAGGTTTAGTGCAAAATTCGGCCAACGGAGATTTATAACGTTATCCTACAAACGTTGAATTTTAAATAAATCATTCATCATGACAGTTTAAATCTTTGCAGAGCACGGTGTTGCAGCTGTTATTTTGGGCAACGCGTTTTTTAACAATGCGGCCTGTCATATTTACGTGGTTTCTGGATTGATACCCTAGGTCTTTCAATCCGTCGCTTTTTTTTGTTAACGCGGCTGTAATTTATTTATTAAGCAGCAGACACTGATTTAAATTGAGCTTTACGCGAAAGAGACCTTGACGATGAAATTCGGAAAAATATTTTTAGTTTCTTAGGACCGTCAGAGAAAATGAGCAATTAGTAGACATTTTTCTAGATTTACAATTCGCACGCGATTCTATTTAAATTACAAAATGAAATAAAGCCTGCTCTGTACCGCGAAATAAACCGTCAACTAATTATTCAATACGTTTACCATGATATATTATTTTTTACTTTGATTTTATTTTTATTTCGTTATAATCAGAGATTTGTCAATTCATAAAGATCCGATAAATTAATACTAGCGTGCATAAACAATTGCAACGACAGCAAAAGGTTTATAACACAACAGACACAAACTTTCATTCGCGTAATTTTATAAAAATTATCCAAATGAAACTACAACGCAGAGTTATATTTCAAATTGGAGAAATTACAAATCATTTTGACCAGTTTGGTAGTTTCATTTCGCGTCAAAGAACGCGAAGAACGATCGTCGTGATCAGCTCGAATGTCAAAATAATTGATTCGTTCAATTGGTTTGTTTGCCACGCGTTAATCCGCGATCTGAGATCGCACGTGCTTCGTTGCATTGTCGTTGCATTTAAATAAGACAGCACTGTCGACGTTTGTTCGCGTGATGCCGGACGGCACGATCGCGAAATCTCTCGCCGAGTTAACACCGATGTTCACAGTGACTCGAATTCAAGCGGCCTGCGCGCTGCCCTCGGCTTAAATCGCAATTACACGCGAGTTTTTTTAAATAATTAAAATACGACGTTGAACCCCGGCTCGTAATAATCTGACCTGTCGCACGCCAACCCTGAGACTCGAGAGTGATGGATGGGAATACGCTGGACGACGTTTTCATCAACCACTACACGTAGCGTAGATGTGTTTGCAATTTTTCTTTTTTTTTTTTTTTTCAAGCAACTCCTCTCGTTGCGGTAGAAACAATTTTGGAGCAATTTCGATTATCTAGATTCACGAATTATTGTTCATTTTCACTTACGAGGGAACGTACCGAAGCGTCGATCACTGATGAAATTTGGCACAAGTGTAGTTTTCGAACAGATATCTGATACGTATTTCTTCTTTTACGAAAAATTGTTGTTAAATATTTCGGAAATTACTAAAAGATGCAGTCATAAAATAATAATAAAATAATAATAGAAAATAATAAAAATAATAAATAATAAATAAAATAATAAATAATAAAATAATGAAATAATAAATAAAATAATAAATAATAAAATAATAAAATAATAAAATAATAAAATAATAAAATAATAAAATAATAAATAATAAAAATTAACGACGAATTTAATGGTTTGCGAATAAGCCATTTCTTTCAACGATATATTTAAAAAAACTTCCTAGTGGCTAGGAGGTTAAAACGATTATTATCCCATCGTTCGATAAGAAAGCTCAGATCGCCACGTTCCTTCCGATGCCATTTCCTCCTAAATCCTAAATCAAACGTAACGTATTATGAAAAACATTCTTCGACGAGAACCGAGAGCGAGAACGGTTAACAGAGTGGACCAAGGGGATGAAGGGGAGTCGAGCGATCGGTGAAACGAATTCGCCCTTCTTGCCGCGAGAATTGGCCGCCGAAATGGCCGGCTAAAAGCTAAAAGCCGGACGGACGAGCGCGAGGGAAGGTGGAAAAGAGGGGGAGTACACGAAACGATAGACAAAGATGAAGATAGATACGAGCAGAAAGAAAGAGAGAGAGAGAGAGAGAGAGAGAAAGAAAAAGAAAAGAGCCGACTGGAAAGAGAGTTTTTCCGGCGTGAGATTTACGTGAAAGGTCCGCGTGCACCGGAAGCACGTACATACGTATGTACGCCGGTGTCTGCGCGAGGAACGAGTTCTCTGTTCGAGTCACCTCCTCGTCCTTGCTGCTGGCAATTTCTTCTTCTTGCGCGAGGAACGAAAAGCGGGCGTGGCCGGGGCATAAATCGCTAAATCCCGTCCGGTCTTCGGCGGGGTCCCTTCGCCGGCGAGCTTTTTCTCAGCTTCCTTTTTCCGGCCAACACCGGGCACAGGGGAGGAGACGCTGTTCGAGACGTTCAACCACCGGCCAAAACGCTCACCATCGTTCTCTCTCGCCGTTCTTTCGTTCGATCTCTAAGAAATTTCGCGGTGTCGGTCTTCGCGACGTCTCTTCAATTTTCGTGTCCTGTTGTCGCGGCAGTCGATTCGCCGTGGTTTATGGGGTCGTACCTCGTCTTCGACGACGCAACGGTGTCTCCGGTAACCGTCGATTCGTTCCAGACATCTTGCACTGTACAGCTTGATTTCTCAAACCGTCACTAGCCCGATTAAGAACGTTTTGAAAGAATTTCTTGTCCCAAATTGCAACATTTTCTCGGTTTTAAGTATACTTAAATATAATCCGGGCAGAACACAAATGATAAGTTTATTACTTCTTCATAATTTCTGTCCAGCGATATCAAAAAAAAATATCCACCGAGTTAAAAAAAAAAATAAAAAAGAGAAAGCGACGAATTATTGTATACGATTCGGTCACTCGTTATGGTCCGCGAACCAGTGGCCACCGCAAGTGGTTAACCTCTCTACCGCTCGAAACGAAACGGGACATGTTTACGACGCTGCCTCGCGAAAGCTAAAGTGGCCTCGGTCGGAATTTATCGAAATATGATTTTACAACGGGACGCGGCGCTGCGAGAAGGAACTGAGAGACAAGGGATTAAGAAACAGCGGATAGAAACCTGCTGCTAGACGGCGGTGAAACGCAAACCCTCGCCCGCCTAATGCTCCTTTATTCATTCTGATTTAATAATGCTCTTCGCCGTTTCTTTCTTTCCCTCTGATTTAATGAATCCTCTCCCGCCTCTTTATTCCATCGGCTGGCTCCGGTTCGGGAAGCTGAATTCTGTTTGCAAACTGTTTGCCGTATATCTTTGCCTCTTTTGAGGGATCACGCGAGGTTTTCAGAGGAAGAAAGAAGACCGAGATACCACCACGGGGATGTATCGTGCTGCCGGTGAAAAATAGAAAGGTTCTTCTCTCGAAATCTTGCGATCTGTTTTTCACGCCGGTGAATATTTCACCGCCAGGGTGGAGGAAATCTGATATTCCCGGTCGGGGTGGATTTTTTTTGACGACCGCCGTTCTACGGCTCGTCGCGACATTCCCTCGTCGAATCGCTTCCACTCGAGCGTCGGATTTCAACGCTGCTCTGCGGGGAAAATATGCTCCGACGCGTTGGTCCGGGCGATTTAATTTTCATAACTTCGCGTAACGTCGAATGTTCAAAATAATCAGTGTTCCGTGACAGAAATTCCAAGACGGAATTTTACTGACCACGGCGTTAGTATCCCTTTACGAATGCTAACTAGGTCAAATGTTCGTCTCTTAGGAGGGTTTGCCTTTTTTTTATACTATTATACTATTGTCTGTATTATTATATTTTTTTTATTAGTGTTTATACGACTGATTTTTACGACTGATCCTCTCGAACCTTCCAAACGTTGTCGACTATCTTTTGGCTTGGAGTGTAGTGTGCGTGCGTGTGTGCGTGAGATGTAAACGAGGCGAGGATGATGTGTCATATTGTGTCAGATGGAACAATCAGTTTGTTTGTCAGAGGTTCAAATAATATATTACATTAACAATAATAATAATTTGAACTTCAAATAATGTATTGTTAAACATCTGTATATAATGATTTTAAACATCTAGTACATATAATATAAAATAAATGTGACATAACGTATATATGCATTTAACATGGACAGGACTGATTAAAAATTTTACACTTATTATTATACAATACAATTAGAATTATAAAATGTATAATTAGAAATGACCAATATTTTCACAGAAAGCTTTAAAAGCGTTTCGCGGCGCCAACGTATTAATATTCTGATTAATAAGACGCATTATGCAATAAAGCAAATTATTAATAACCAAGAAATATAGTATAGTATATTAATAATAATATGGTTATACAATATATATATATATATATATGTTATATTATACATTAATATTACTAACTATAAAAAGGGCATATCTTGCATACAATTTGGCAAATGTTCTTTTAAAATGTCTTCATACATATATTGATTTATAATCCCTTCAATTTTGTGCAATGGGCCAACACACCATCTCCCATCATACACCCCACAACATATGTATGCCTATGCGTATAATTGTATGCAAGATATGCCCTTCGCTGTAGAAGAAATCGTTTTTCAAAATGATCCGGACACGAAACACACAGCGAAAAGCATAACTAATTAACTGACTGCTCAGGCATTTCCGATCTTTGATTGGCCTGCACGAAGCCTCAACCTAAATCCCATCGAGAATCTATGGGGTATATTGAAAAAAAAAATTCTAGACTCATACAAATCTCCTCCTAGCTCAGTACTGGAACTACATGCTCGTGTTATAAAACAGTGGAATCAAATGCCACCTGATTTCTGCTTCAAGACTGTTTGAAAGAATGCCAAGACGTATTAGAGCTATTATCTAAGCAAATGGCTTATGGACAAAATATTAAGGTAAAGCTTGTAAATCTGACTATGAAATAATCCTGGTGCAAAATTCATTCTATGTTTTCTAATTTTTTTCAGCCAGGAAGAAACCCAATCTTAAGAAATAGCTTCAGTTTCCTGAAACTACAATGAATCAGATAGTCAAGTTTATTTTCATGTTTTTGTACTTTTAATATTTTTCTCAGAAATTTTTGTCACTGATTCAATTTTGCACCACGCTGTATATCGGTGAGATAATCAGTTGCGCGAAACTCGCTTGCAAATCGGCACTGCAGCAGCCAGCATCGCGCAAACCGCGAATAGTTTTCCCAACTGCTTTACCAACGCTCGGCGGTGGTTAACCGACGAAAAACCGAAACGTTCGATACTTGAGAAACTGTATACATACTTGGTACATTTACCTGGCAAGAGCTCTGTCGCCTCGATAACCAAAGGATACATTCACCGGGGATCCTCCTACGTTGGCGAAGTTTCTGAAATTACAATGACCTCGCGCCCCGAGCAACTTTTTCGATATTTGTCTGGATTCGGTTATGGGATCGCTGACTCGCCGAGACTCGCGTCGCGTCGAGAAAGAAGAATCGAACGATAAAGCCAAGCTATACATGTATGTGGATTGTATATGGATTTCCTGGATCTTCCAACGTCGGGAACGATTTTCCATTTGTACTCGCGATTTGTTCCTCGGGGGACGGCGAAAACACGCAGGCAGAGTTTGATAGACCGAATGGTGAATCGTTGTCGGATAACGTTGAAACTCGAGCTAAAATTCTGTCCAAACGATCGCGAAAGACGAGTCTCGAGGATTAGAAACTCTGTCGGGAATGGTCTTATTTTCTAGTTTGGGGAATTCTGCGCGATAACATGCGAAATTTGAAGATGAGGAAAGTTCGAAGCTTACATGTCGCAGTAGTCGATCTTACTTTTTTTTATAAAAATTGTACGTAAAATTTGACGTGAAAGAAGTAAGACGCGAAGGAAGAATTCATTTGAGACTTCGTTTAAAAAAGAAATAGATATAGCATGTTCACAAAAATTGGTAAGAACGAATATTTTAATGTAAGTATTTTAATAAGTAAAGCGAGTGTCTTTTCTTAACAGACAAAAATACTTCCGCATAAATAAATATTTTAACGAATAAAATATTTTCTGATCCGTGATTATAGACATCACGCAGACTGTATTTATAAAAAAACACGTGCGTCCTTGCTTTCTTGCCTTTAAGTCAGTAAGTTAACGGACAATTTGATACGTTTGGAATCCAGTGTTTTCATCAATTTTGCAGACGCTCGTTATAGCAAAGCAGAAAGAAGTTCCGAGTCGCCCACGTCTCTAATTAAAGTTTAGTGCTTCTATCGTCGTAAACGAACGAATGGGAACATCCGAGTGCACGGAAGCGAACGTTACTGGCCACTTCCGAAATAAGTAAGTCGTATTCTTTAGCAGGGCAATTACCGTCTCGAGTGCAATTATTCTCCAAATATTATTTAACGAGACAATTTGCAAAATTTGGTCAAACGTTACTTAATAAGAATAGCAAGATTTTTATTTATATTTAACAAGACTATTTTCCAAATTTTCTAATTATAATAAAGATATTAAGAAATTTATTTAGACTCCAAATTATCCTATATTTAATTTATCAAATTTCCTAATTATAATAAAGATATTAAGAAATTTATTAAGACTCCAAATTATCCTATGTTTAATTTACCTAATTACCTAATAATTATATTACTTATAATACCTAATAATTACCTTCTAGTTCTTCAGAGAGAAAAGGGGGAGAGATTCTGGATTATAGATTCTAGATTCTAGATTCCAAGGTTTCAAATTCTAGATTCTAAACTGCTAAATTTTACCTAATTACCTAATAATTATATTACTCATAATACCTAATAATTACCTTCTAGTTCTTCCTAGAGAAAATGCGAGAGAGATTCAAAAATTCTAGATTCTAGATTCTAAGATTTCAAATTCCAGATTCTAAGCTATTAGATTTTAGATTCCAAGGTTTCAAATTCTAGATTCTAAACTGCTAGATTATAGATCCTAAGGTTTCAAACCAGATTTTAAACTGCTAGATTTTACCTAATTACCTAATAATTATATTAATCATAATACCTAATAATTACCTTTTAGTTCTTCCTAGAGAAAATGGGAAAGAGATTCTAAAATTCTAGATTCTGGATTCTAAGATTTCAAATTCCAGATTCTAAGCTACCAGATTCTAGATTCCAAGGTTTCAAATTCTAGATTCTAAACTGCTAGATTTTAGATCCTAAGGTTCCAAATTCTAGATTTTAAACTGCTAGATTTTACCTAATTACCTAATAATTATATAACTCATAATTACCAGATTCTAGATTCCAAGGTTTCAAATTCTAGATTCTAAACTGCTAGATTATAGATCCTAAGGTTTCAAATTCCA